ATTTGGTTTGAATCTAATGGCTTCCTCTTAAACAAAGATAAAACTCAAAAAATTATTTTTAGCCTTAGACCCTGTGAATTATTTCTTGGTATTTATAAGAAGCTTTCTTGGAGAGATCATATAGATTACATAAGTTCTAAGCTGTCAAGGGTGATTTGTCTTATAACTAAACTAATACATTGTAGAGATCAAAATTATATTAAAACAGCCTACTTTGCTTATTTCCAATCCATTTTCAGATACAATATTATCTTTTACGGAAATTGCAGTAGGATAGAGGACATTTTAGTCTTACAAAAGAAGTTAGTTAGAATCATATCTTGTGAACCCCTACAGGATCACTGCAAACCCCTGTTCATTCAGCTACAAATTCCAACAGTAATTAACATTTATATATTTGACTCTGTATCATATATTTAAAAAAATCCTGACCTTATCAAACAAAATTCTCATGTTCATAATACAAGGAATAAAAACGTTGCTAACATAGATTTTTTTAGACTGTCTAAAACTCTTAAAAGTCATATTGTAATCTCACTAAAAATATACAACAAGCTAATACATTTAATAACAAAATATCCTAAACAAACTTTTAAATCTAAATTCTACAAATGGCTTTTGAACAACCCTTTTTATTCTCTAAAAGATTTTTTTGGAATGCCTTTTATTAACTTTTAAGTAGAGCAAGCAAGTTTACCAAATTACTGTTGGATTTAGTTGGTTATGGGGTTTAATAACTTCCATTATTCCAAACGCCTTAAATTTTTCTTAACAATAAGATTATTTGGTTGTAATATTAAAGTATGTATTGTAACATGTCTCCTTGTGTGTAGTATTCTTGTAAATATTGTATATTGTATTAATTAACTGACTATGCTAGTTTTAGCAGTTTTTGGACATTGTCAATAATTTGTATAAACTCACAAGACAATAAACACATTTCATTTCATTTCATTTCATTAGCCTATTTGTTGTGCCTCGACTGAAATGTAACATTACTTTTAGAAACTTGAGACACTATTTTTAGCCTTTTTTGTTAACTTCATTGACTATGTTTACCAACAACGAATATCGCGGGTGTGACTTTATCACTTTAATCATATTTATTAGTTGTATATTTGTACATATTCAGTTTGTAAACAGTTTTATGTGGATGAACTTACTTAATTTGATGTCTGGGACATTACATTTAGTAGGTTTATGAAACATTTCGTCATAATGAACAAATGATTTGATCGCCAAATGAAAAAGGCACAGCAGCATTTTTTAGAAAAAAACTATAATTTATTTATGTATATTTGCCTTTATAACTATGTATATTCATTTAGGGGAATACGTTTCCTTTCATTTTATATAGTTGGTATGTGGGGTTTATATGTTTTAAAAATAATATACATGCGTGAATAACAAATTTTTTTTCTAGACAAATATAAACATTTATTAAAGGTCATAAACATTTATTGAAATGATAATTTTACATGTACAACTCTTACTTCATTTGATCTCTAATATTATTGCCTACAAATTTTACTTTTACTTTATCTCTTGATAATACATTTATTTGGTTTTTGTTTTAAATTTGTAGTGCAAAATCGTGAAACTTGTCATTTTATTGTTTTTTGGCCATTACTTTGTATGAAGGGTAATTGGAATCTTTTTACATTTCCTTATAGAGAAATTAATTCCAAACAATTTTTATATCTTGAAGTTTACATGAAACATTTTTGGTTCATACAGCAATTTTTTTATCTACTGTAAATATTTTCTACAATATTTTAAATATTCATTTTGTTGCCATTTTCAAATTCTTCATTTCATTACGAACACTTCAAAGTATATATATACGTTCAATAGGTTTGGTCTGTTGGTTTAGTTTATATGAATTTTCGAAAATATGACTGCAAAATCGCCAAAAATGCCTTGCCACTACAAAGTTTGCCCATTGCAAGTTGGAGGGCTAATGAAACCACGCTTTAAAAATCACATTATAAAACTACATGATTATAAACACAATAATTATCAAAATGTACGTAGATGCCGGGCGACATCATCGAAGTATAGTTATTTATATATACTTCGATGGGCAACATATGCTATGCACTGCCCTGCTAGGCTACCGTCGCCGCTCGCACCGATGTACCAGCGCAACGTCACTGAGGAGGGGCGGGGGAGGGGAAGTAGGATCAGGCGGCGACCGCTAACATCAAAGGAGTGAGCCAGCCCTTGTATATCTCTAGCCCTGACGGCCACAGGGGTTAATCAGATTTTTTGCTGCAATCACGGAAGACAACGATATTGTCTACATGACCAAGGTCGATATCCCTGATTTTGCCAAGATCTCACGAGACGACGATGACGTTTCCGTGACCGCGGGGATTGGATGATGATGTATACACGGCGGCGGGAGTTGATCAGATTGTTGCTACAATCTCGGAAGACAATGATAATGTCTACATGACTGCGGAAGATGTTCATGATTTTTCCTCGATCGCGCAAGATGACGATGACGTTTCCGTGACAGCGGGAGTGAATGATGATGTTTACACGGCCACGGGATTTAAACAGATTTTTACCGTGCTTTCAGTAGACAACGATAATGTCTACATACCCACGGGAGATGTTCATGATTTTGACACTATAGCGCAAGACGATAATGACGTTTCTGTGACCGCGGGAATGGATAATGATGTTTACGCGGCCACGGGAGTTGATCAGATTTTTGCTGCGATCGCCCAAGACGACGTTGACGTTTCCGTGACCGCGGAAGTGAAAGATGATAACGGTAATGTATAAATGCCCGCGGGAAGTGTTCATGATTTTGCCGCGATCGCGCAAGACGACGATGACGTTTCTGTCACCGCCGGAATGGATAAAATGTTTACACGGCCACCGGAGTTGATCAGATTTTTGCTGCAATCGTGGAAGACAACGATAATGTCTAAATAACCGCAGTAAATGTTCCTGATTTTGCAGCAATCGCGCGAGACGACGATGACGTTTCCATGACCACAGGAATGAATGATAATGTTTACACGGTTGCGGGAGTTGATCATATTTTTGCTGTGATCGCCAAAGACAACGATAATGTCTACATGACCGCGGGAGATTTTCATGATTTTGCCACAATCGCGGAAGACCTCACCTGTCAAAAGTGCCGGATTAGAGAGGATTACTGGAGTTGATTTTTGTCCGAGAGCAGACACACATAAATCAATTTTTGTCCAACACCGTATTGACAGTAATCAGGATATGAATGACATTAACACGGGTCTGCAAGTCCTACATTACTGTCAAAATGGAAATAAAATGGACGTCTTGGAGCAATTTTAAATGTATAAATCAATAAAAATCTGGATTTCAACAACCATATCCTGAATGACAAACTCTAGTTTAACTTGAATATAATTTTTAACACTATACTACAACAAGGAAACATATCTGATCAGCTGACCACAACAGATAATGAAGATAATTCATTCAGATAGCGCTGACTTGAACCCTCCACCGACAGTCTGTTCCCGCTCGTGTACCGGCAATGTTGCATACACGTGATAGGCCTATCAAACTAAAGGTAATTATTTATATATTGTGCGTGTCGTGTGTAAATGTTATTTGATGTACCTACCTATATTATATGTGTAATGAGAACGAAGCTATATAAGTGGAATTAATATATATTCATGTAATGAAGTGTTTGACTATGACAGCTCGCCGAAACATGTTACACGTTGACGAAGGTTTTTTGGATCTGATTAAAGGTAACGTAAAACCACCAAATATTATATATTAGAGTTACGGGGCTACAACAATGAATTTTAATAGACGTATTGGCGGTGCAACGATGGCAGTACAATAGCGTTGAGTAGAAACCGAAAGTGAACATTGGAAAATTGAGTTTAGGAGCATCTGTAAACCTCTGTTAGGATCACAACAAAATCATAACGATCTTCCGAGATGGCTGCAACATCAGCGATCAAACTTCTGTTGTGATTTTTTACTTCACACAACAGTCATCGAAGCGCTGTGAATGAGTGGAAACCATGTTTTTTAAGCTATTGGCGACAATAATTTTAAAAATTTAAGTTTCTCAGGCATATACAAAACTGATTCAGAGTCTTTTTTCTGGTTATCAAAACTTAAGTACAATTTACACACACACAGAATCTCCGGTTAACGACCTGAATAATGCTTAGAAATTTAATTTTATTTACAGTTACACATTATTGCACTTGCGATTAATTAAATCCGTTATATAAGGCACAACGTTTTTAATCTCACTTGGTTTTGTATTTTTTCTTACAAAACGTGATCGGAAATGGTTGCAGTATTTGTAAACAACATTTCAATAGTCAATTAAGTAAGTTCAATTAATGTAAACATATCAGTGACAGTTAGAAAAAATAATCAAACAACTGTTCTTTATTTCATCGATGTCGTATTTTCCAAACAGATGGTTAGTATTTCATAAATGACGCATGTGGTAAACATTAAGAGAAAACTTGAAAAAATCACACAAAATTGGATTTTTGAACACCTGTTATTTTATTACAAAAGTAGTGAGGCCATATTTTAATGGCTAAAGACACCCTCGCCAATCCAGTGACAACAAAAAGACTATTAGTATTTGAATCCCGATCAATTCTCTTGATTTTCAGGAGAAGGCCGAGTAAAATGCCTTTTGGGCCATGACAAACAGACAGACAGAAATTGAGATAAGACTTGTTTCGGCTTCTTTAATGTATAAAACGTAAAATTACCAAAAAATATAATTCTGAGCAATATACGGACAAAAACTCTAATTTTATTTATATATGTAGATATAACAATCAGAGAGTATAAATAAAGAAACCTGACCAACCTTTATTATAGCATGCATGTTCATATAAAAAATTCATAGTTAAAAAAAATATAATAGCATTGTGAAACGTATAACTCTCAACTAATAAGAATGAACTAGTTCCTTAAGCAATACAGAAGGTTAAACACTATGTTCACAGTACCTCCGTTTAGAGCACCACACTCGACTGCCCTCCTCGGGAGTCCACTCTACGTTGCAAGGCGGATACATCAGCTTGTATTTATTCTTATCTTTCTCATCCCGATCTGCTTCTTCTAGTTTCAGCTGTAGTTTGTGAAGATAGCCTGTCGGATTCCCAGTTTTGTCATAATACCTTCCAACAAGCTTTCCTGAAATAAAATAGGAGTATATATGAAAGCAGGATAGGTCAATCTATACTTATTTAATACGCAAGCAGGATTTTTGTGACAATTACTCCTCCGAAACTACTGAACTGATTGACATGTTTTGGTGTCATTGGAAAGAGCGTAACGTGAAGTTGTGCAGGAAACTTTCTTTTAGCGAATTTCCCATATAGGGAATAAGCTATTACCGTAGTACTCATGGTAAGACCTGGACCCGAGACCGATTTAATTTTTCATTTTGAGGTCCCTAGAGGCCAAAAACACCATCCGTTCAAATTCATATATATATATATATGTGTCCGTTAGCGCGATAACTCGAGCAAATACCCCCGCCGCAGCAAACCTGCCGTCTAAGCGAATTTCTATTTGTCCGAATTGATTTTCAATTGATCTATTTAAATAACATTATTAGGTTTAACGAGTACCTAGGTTTGCTGCTACAAGGAAACTAATAAAGTAGTGTGTTTTTAGTAAAATATTGATAGCTTACTATAAAATAAATAAATTTGCCAACTTTGATCAAAATATATCCATAAACAAGCAAACTACAACATTTTACAATATTCTCCATAAGAATAACATGGGAATTTTAAATTTACCATTTTTTTAGTTTTCTCCGTAACCAATAACCGTACAAAAACACTTTGATATACTGAATTGTTTGCTTTTTTAAGCTCTTTAAGAAGGTTTAGAGAAAAATTGGGAAATTTTGTGTTTTGAGGGTAAAAAGTGAGAAAAACCCATTTTTACCCCATAAAACCCCCCATAAAACCCTGTTCCCATGGTCCGATCATGCTGGATCGCGAACTCATTCAAGTTTATCCCGCCTTACACCTTCAAACCAAATGTAATCAAAATCGGATAAAAATTACTCAAGTTATCGTGTTCACGGACACATATATATATATAAATCTATATATATACCTATATATATATAAATCTATATATATACCTATATATATATATATATATATATATATATATATATGTACATATATAAAAATTTGAACGAATGGTGTTTTTGGCCTCTGGGGACATTAAAATGAAAAAGTAAATCGGTCCCGGGCCTAAGTCTTACCATGAGACCTACGGTAATAGCTACTTCCCTATAGGGAAATTCGCTAAAATGATCTGATTATGATGAAATTTGGTACAAACGTGTAAACCTACATTTATTCGAACGAGTTCGCGATCCAGCATAATCGGACCATGGGAATGGGGGTTTATGGGGGGTTTTATGGGGTAAAAATGGGGTTTTCCCATTTTTGAACCTAAAAACAAAAAATTTTGCGATTTCTTTCTAAACCGTTTTGTAGAGCTTAAAAAAAGAAATAATTTAGTATATTGAAGCCCTGTTGTATGCCTAACGGTCACGGAGAAAATTCAAAAATAGTGTAATTAAAAATTCCCATGTTATTCTTATGGAGAAAATGAAAATGTTGTAGTTTACTTGTTTATGGGTATATATTGATAAAATTTGGCAAATTTATTTATTTCATCCTATACTATTGACGTATGGTCAAAAAACACTTTTTACCTTCCCCGTAGCAGCAAACCTAAGCACTCGTTAAATCTAATGTTATTTAAATAGGGAATAATAAGTCTTATTTATGGAAATATTTTAGTAAAAATGTAATCAGACGAGTTGAAATTCGCTTAGTCTGCAGGTTTGCTGCGGCGGGGGTATTTAGAGAAATTATTAGAGAGTGAGGCTCTGGGGCCCTTTAAAGGTTCGTATTTCTCCATAAGATTAACTTGGGAAACAAACATTGTTTTGAAACTCCAGCTGTTGTCAGAAATTAAATATTAATAATTGGTTTCCATGGAAGCATTATAGTCCAGTCAATTCGTCGTGGAAATCTACCTTACGTTACAAAAAATAACTGTTACGAGTTTTTTCCTTAACTTTATGTTTTTTGGGGCGCTGAATCCGAATCTGAAGAGATCCAACAAAAATTCCTTGTGCGTTTTGAGCTAGACGCAAAAAATATAAAAATTTTGGCACTTTTTTCAGTTTCTTGCTTATAACTCGGAAACTATACATTCTACTAAATTTTACCAAATGTGAAAATGAAAGATCATGAAATTTCCTACAAAATACATATGCATCATTCTTTATCAAACGCACAATTAGCCCGCTAGAGTGCGCTCCAAAAAGAGAAAAATATCACATTATTGTAAAAATACGTTTATTGCCAGATTTTTACTTTTATTATTGAAAGTACGCGTTTATTGAAGGTGGACTATGTAAGTAAATTAAGTTTAAATACTTTACATGTAAGCCCCAATTAGTGTACAATTAAAAAATATCTAATTTATTTCAGAACATATAAGAGCAAAGACAATATTAGTTTTAGTGACTTTTTCCACTGCAGTGGAAGACCGCTGCTTGGAGTCCCTCAAATGCGGTTGGTGTTCTTCTGTACAATACGGTTCAGTAATATATTGCTTTTCCTTGTGGTTGGTGTGCTGATAGCTGGGTAGTTTATTAATGAAATTATTTTAATGAGTTTAAAGTTATCGGTGGACAATTGAAATTTAAGACACGGATTTAGTTTTTCACTGGTTATATGCTGAATTTAATATTTAAAACAAAACAGTACAAAGACAGAAATTATGTTAACAGTTTGGAATACAAAATTATTGAATTGAATCGAGAAAAAATAACAAATAAGAAAATAGCTCACTGTATAAATGAGCGGTTTCAATATAAAAAAAACTGTCGGAGGACGCTTTAGGCGTCCCTGCCGCGTGAGTTTTGTTTTAAACACTGATTGTCACACTTTAAGCATCCCCAAGCCCTGACGGGCAAGGGAAGGGATATTAGGAAGTTACTTTAATAATATGACGAGAGCTTCCTTGTCTTCGATCCCTAAATTACTTATTTGTTTGTTATTCTTCAATTGTTTACCTTATTAAAATTAGATGTGATTATTTGTTTGGGAGCGGCAAAATGATCTGACGGTTTTCTTTGCCGCCCTGTCGAGCGAATGAGTGGCGTAGGGTGGTGGGAATAGGGGCGTTACAAAGCCAACGAGTGAACATTTTTAGTAGCCATGGAGCCGTGGGATAGCTGAGCAACATGTATTTGTAGTAGAAGTGTTTTTAAAAGTGGAAATTCCTGTGTAGCTTTTTAGTACACGTTTCAATGTGGGTTCAAGGGGAAAAGTCCCAACTCAAAAAACCATTTTGCAGTGAGTAGGTAACTTCAGAGCTACTAATTCAGCATTGAAAAAAACCAACAGGCAGTCTAAGTCCAAGGTCAGCCCGGACCCCAGAGAACGCTGAGAGAGTAAGAGAACCTGTGGAAGTTAGTCCTCAGTGGCCTAAACGTTAATAAGCTGCAGCTCTGTTCTTGTCTGGCCGCTCGGTAGAAGAGTATTACAACACGACCTGCATTTCCATTCATACAAAATGGCAATTGTACAACAGCTGAAACCCAGAGATGCAAAGCGCATCTCTTTTTCAGAACAAGTAGTGATTGATTTTCTTACATGTAACAACATTTTCATTATGAGCGACGAATCACACTTTCAACCACAACATACAGTCGTCCTCACTCTCTTTAGTTTCACACCACATAGTCAGATTTTAGTTTCAATGCTGAACTAGTAGCTCTAAAGTTACCCACCCACAGCAAAATGGTGTTTCGAGTTAGGACTTTTCTTCTTTGACCCACATTGAATCGTGTACTGAACAGCTACACAGGAATTTCCACTTTTAAAAACACTTCTACTACAAATACATGTTTCTCAGCTATCCCACGGCTCCATGGCTACTAAAAATGTTCACACGTTGGCTTTGTAACACCCCTATTCCCACCACCCTACGCCACTCACCCGCTTGACAGGGCAGCAAAGAAAACCGTCAGATCATTTTGCCGCTCCCTGTATTACTGTATTCTCTTTTGTTTATTTTAGCTTAAAGTAACCAATCAATAGTTTTATTAATACTTATGATGTAAAACGGGGTGAGGCTCGTGGGTAACAGCTAGTATATATGGTATACACATTTTGGGATAATTGTTTCATAATGTAAAAGGAATGTTACGTGATGTGAGACACATATTAATGAACATTTAAGTATTATAAATATCATTCAACATGAGAATTCCCATTTCAAGATTTTGATGGATTCTGTGTCGTCCCTCTGAACTCGGTATTCTCTGCTGTCTACACTGTCTACATGCTGCTCAGAGATTTCGAAGTGAACACCACAAAACCTTTCCATCTCTTTGGTAATGTGAATTATGGATGTGCGCATTTGTAATCATCTAAAGGATATGCTATCAGAAATATTATACATTCTAAATCTACCCTCAATTTTAGTACTTCTCATGAGGAATTGCGCTATTGTTTTGTCTATGAAGGTGCCACACCATAGTTTATCGGGACGACGGACTGTGAAGGCGTCTCCACAAGTGAAATTGACGATTTATATCACGTCAATGTTTGTAAAAAATAAAAAGAGAATATGTTATAATTAACTGTTTATGTTAAAACTGTGTACGATAATGCTTTATTATTCAACTTACAGGTTAACCAACCATAGGTTACTGTATAGTTGTAAAAATAAATGTCTAACTATGGCAAGTTATGTTTAACAGAATATTTGTCCTTTCGTTCATGATAAATTTTAGGTGTTTTTGGTGAAAGTAATTATTTGAGAGTTTTTTTTTAAGCTAGAATTAAGTTAAATAGATAGTGAAATAAGTTACAGAAGGGAAGATGAGTGGAAACGCTGTACTTTTAATAATACATGTGAAAATATGGCAAAAAGGTTGTTTACAAGAATGTAAAATTTTTGTCTTTTTGGAGCGGGTCCCAATTATTGTCTTTGCTTCTATTTGTTCTGAAATAAATTAGATATTTTTTAATTGTACACTAATTGGGGCTTACATGTAAAATATTTAAACTTAATTTACTTACATAGTCCACCTTCAATAAACGCGTACTTTCAATAATAAATGTGAAAATCTGGCAATA